TAAAGAAAATTATTTAAAAATTTTTTTTTTAATTTTTTTAACATTGTTTCCTCCCAATCAAAGTCAAAATAGTCATTTTTTATCCAATCTGCGATAACTCAGTAATAAAAAGTCGTAGCAACATTTTTAGAAAACGATTTTGTAGATAAAACTTCAAGCTTTTACATTAGGAAGTCGAAAATGTTCACAGATTTTTTTAGACACGTGACAGGCCCACAAAGTGAGAAGAAAATTTTCCATTTTGTCCAGTTTGTAGTTTTCTATATGCAAAAATTACCAAACTCACAAAAACTCAAAAAAACCAATGACCTTTCGAAAGTAGAGATTTCAAGCTTCAAAACCCTTTTTTGAATTAAAATTTTGTTCATTTTTAACGAAGTTACGGCTGTATGAATTTTGCCTATTTTTTAAGAAAAATTAAATGTTCCTTTAATTTTTGTGAATAGTTTATATATGTACAGGGTGATTCACATAAGTGGGTAAGACCATATTGAATACAGGGTGAATCTCGTAAACGTATTGAATATCTCGGGAAGGACACATCATTTTGCTTTGGGGCTAAAATTTATACTATGTATATCGATGTATATCGATAGATATATCGTAGATTATAATAAAACTATTTTCAATCCCCAAAAATTACCCCTTGGAGGTTTTTTGAGGATGCTACCTCTATCTCGGTATCTTCAAATGGAAAGGGTATCTTTTGATTTAGGATTCAAATTCTACATAAAAAAATAAGACTTTTTCACTTTTGTTATTTTTTTCTAATTCTCTCGAATTTTTTAGTTATAGAGAATTTTCCCCAAATTTTGAGCTTCACAAAACGAGGTATAAAAGACATGACAACATGCATGCAGTTTGACATGTAATAAGTAAACTAATGGAGAAACCAATTTAGAATCACATAGGTCTTATAATTTTAAAAGTACTTACTTTTAATAGGAACAAAAACTTACTGTGTGCTTTTCAAATTGCTACTTAGCTAGTGTTTGTTAAAATAATTAGCTCTAAGATGTAAGTATAAAATATTATTTTCTATTTCAGTAAAAACAGGAACATTTTTTATTTATTAAACAATAGTTTACTTCAGCATGTAGTAGGTACATTGTTAATGTTATAAATTTAGCGTTATAAGTAGAGAGATAGATTTATGTTTATGTTACTGAGTTATAGATGGTTACAAAAAATAAAACGTTTAAATTCAAAAGCAGAAACACAAACAAAACAAATAAATAATTATAGCAAAACAAATTATTAATTAAATTTTTTTTATTATAACTTTATTACTTTTTCCAACGAGCTTTGGTAATTATGAAAAATTATCGGTAAAAATGATTATTTTGATGAAATTTATCACAATTACCATGTGTATTGATAATTATGTACATATAATTACCGGCAATTATGCATAATAACCAATTATTCACATTTACAGTAACATATTTACTAACTCGATATGAATAATTACCGTCAATTATGCATAATAACCAATTATTCACATTTACAATAACATATATACTAAATTGGAGTTCAGGGAATTCTAAAAAAACTAGTTTCTGTTGCAATGAATTATCTCAATTCTTGCCTGAGAAAAATGTGTTGACCATGAGTTTTTGTATAGACTAGCTCATCAATTATTCATATTTTTAAAAATATTAATCTTTCAAAAATAGGAAACTATAGAAGATAAAAATTCCAAATTTGAGATTTGTAGTCAACTTGGTGGTCTGTTAAGTATACCGAAAAAAATAAATATTCGGCAATCTTCGGTTCAAAATTATTTAATAATTGGGTCACTTAACATGGAATGACTCATTTTGCTTTTCTATGTTAAATTTCAAAGATAAGAAAAGTTAATTAAGATTGAAATCACAATATATATGATTACATTTATATGTGTTGCGCTTCGTCCGCGCATTGTTCTCAGAGTACTATACGTTGATGGCCTCACGTCAGAATTGATTGGTGATTTTCCTCTGGATACCCTACCACATAAGGGTGAGAATATTTCTGTGATAATACCTTGTGGTATCTTCTCGCGCGGCGGAATTTACACATTACGACTTCAGTACAAGTTCTCAACGGTGGCTGCCAGACACAACACTGCCATTGCTGGGCTGCCTGAAATTGAGGTAAGACACTTTCCAATTTTAAACTTAACATACACATTTTATATTACGCATGTTAAATTAGAATCATTAATTAATTAATTAATTTTACATCCTTCTCAAATCGATAGTTAATAATAACCGTATGATATTAAGAGTCTTTAAAATTATTAATAATATTTCAAGAAGTCAGGAAGAGATTTTTCTCTAGCAAAAATTAAGAAAAAATTTGGTAAATTTATAAAAATAAAATAATGATAAAATTGATTCAAGTTTTGATTTCAGTAAAAATATCTTAATGCATGTTACATTTGTAATGTTAACGTCGCTCGAAGTAATAATCTAGCTGAAATGAACGCATCTAGATAAGCAGTGCCTTAGATGTAAAGTGGCCAATCCCTTCTCTGCTTCTGGAATCCCAACATTTCGGTACATATCCTAGTCAGCCGGTAGTAGCGATCATAAAGTACAATGGAATTTCGTGTGTACCTGCCAACGGCATTCCGGTAGCGGCTTATATTTTGCAACTCATATATTGCGGCACTACCGTGGCCGCCTGCGATCCACAGAATAACAATCGCATGCAAGTAAGTGCTACATATGTAAAAGATAATACGTAGAAACTTTGTGTATATTTACCAAGTGATAATTCTCGAAATCTAATCTTTAACGCTCTACAAATTTTCCTAGATTCTCTATTATGAGGAAATAAATGGATTTACTTCGCTAAAAGTCATTAAACTCAAGTGTGAGTTTTTTGGACTTGCCGGAAATTATGCGCTTAGATTAAGAGCTTCGAACATCAATCCTTCCGCGCCAACAATTAGCGCGTATATCAAGGTGATTAAATTTCTCGTTCTAAAATAATGAAAACAGAATTATCGCGATGAACAGTAATTACAGAAGTAATTTGTGGAAGATTAAAAGGTTGATGTACGTTACACGCTTATTACAACGCAAATAAATTAATTGCAAAAAATATTTACGAACGCATTTCTTTTTTCGCTCGTAGGTGGAATGGTCCGACGAGTTTAGCTTCAACATTCATGCGAGATCAATTTATCCCTGCGAGGGATCGGCAGGCATACCGGTTCTCTTCCAATATCCCGCGTGTCGCCTTCAGGGCGATCGCGTGCGCGTTTACGGTCGTCTACGAGCGGATGTGAGCTCCCTGGCACCACCGTCCGCTTTACATTACGTGGCGGAATTGAAGGCGGCGCCGGGAAAGCACTCGCTAAACTTCGACTGTGATATTTTCACCGAGAAGTTCATCGAGTACTGCTTCGTCTACGTGAGCCAAGCGATCACCGGCGCGATGGCGGAAGTAAAGCTCGCGTGCATACCCACCTTCCCACTATTAGGTGAGTGGCATGCAAATACATCTGTTTAAAAACCAAGCGCCTCCGTTCCCGATAGATTTACTGCCTCATAATTCACTTCGAGATCGTGCGATTGCGAGACACATTAGTTTTATCCTTTTAACGAGCAGCGGGATTGCTCGCTGCTCGATCTGGGTCAGAACAGAAGAATAGCTGTATACATTTCCGATGAAATAAAACTGGAACATGAATAAATTTGATTAATGATTCAATTGCAATCTTAACGATACTATTATGTTTAGTTATATAATCTTTATCTTTGATGTGATTTATTCTTAAAATTTATTAATTTTTACTGTAATATAAAAATATATCGAAAATTCTCATTTTTTGAATCATAAATGAAAATTTAATTAAACGATTTTAAGGAATAAAATTGTTCAACTGCAAATGGTAAGAGGAGAAATACATATATTCATATATTGTATATCGTATATCCAAATTCAGTAAGCAATTATAGATCTATATTCTGTTCAATGAGAGAATACCCACGGATCGGACGAAAACTCGTCTATTTCGCGCAGGTTTCTTTTCATAGAACGCTTAGAGAATCTCTCCCCCCCCCCCACTCCACATGACTGTACTGCTATACGGTACTGAATAGCGCGCAACTAGAGCGCAACGCTCTCCCCACTTTGTCCACTACGCTTCTCTTATGCGCAGACCGTGGGTCTTCTCTCACTGAACTGAGTATAGATTAAATAATCGACTTCTCTGAGAGACACTCCATACATCCCTTCCTTTATATCTTAATTATTAATGCAGAAAACGACTCAGCTGGTTGGGGTCCTTGGAGCGCATGGAGTCCTTGCAGTAGCTCCTGCGTGGGTGGCACTCGCAATCGATATCGATTTTGCGACACACCACCTCCGAAGTATGGAGCGAAATTTTGTCAGGTAGGTTTAAAAATTGATGATGTAAAATGGACAATCAAACAACTTAATAACATATCTATAATAAAAATGAAAAGGGAAAAGCAGTTGAGACGGAATCGTGCGGCGGCATCGGCAGGATCGATTTTCATGAGACATGGAATTCTGAAGGCTGGGAGTGCCGACACGGAACGACATTAGCAGCCACGAGACCGGAAGTCACGGCGCAAATCGGCGTTCAATGTCGGTGCGGTTGTATCGTCAATTTCCAGGATAAAACTTTGAACAAAATCCTGGCGGCGAACACCCAAGCTTGTCCTGGTCGTTCCTTTTGGTTGTTGCAGGTAAATTTTGCATACTATAATATAGTATTTTTATATTCAAAGCTTAAATAATTCATTTTTTTTCTGCTAAAATATAACAAATTTATTTCTTCGTCAATTTTTGGAACAAATGTTTATCTGATTCCAATTTGTACAGGCAAAGTCCAACTACGTGGTCCGATTACACTTGGATCAAACGCAATTTCCTTGTCCTGGACAATATTTTCGTGCTCGTGACGGTGATTCGCTGAGCGCGGAACTTTTAACGGACATCGCATTCGATAAAAGTGCACCGGCAACAGGAACAATATTTTCCTCGGGTCAGAATTTGTTATTGGAGTTCTTCAGCGATGAATTGACCGCCTCAGGAAATTCTTGCGTGGGCGGTTTTCTCGGACACGCGAGCATGTTTCGTAAGTATTATTAATTCATATATGTATTAATTAATTGGATATTATTAGTTGAATCTTAACATTTCTTTATTAATATGTACATTTCTTTAATAATTTTGATAAATTAAATGCAACGTGTAAATTGTTCATATTTTAATTTATACAATTTGCTATTGCTTTGCTATTTATTTTTAACATGATTTAATTTTAGAGAAACTATACGAAAAGAACAAGACATCACTGTCGCTCTCATCGAAAACAAATTCCACTCTCACTGTTGAGCAATGGATCTTCTGGGGACCCGCGCATTTGGCGACAGCATCTCTTTTGATACTCATATTCTTTATATCTATTTTTCTAGCACTACAATTTGCGCTTAAATATAGAAAGTATCATATCGCCGAAGATTTGGATACTTTAAGCGATCATTCCGGTAAGTATCTTCTATAATAACAAGATAATACAAATTTAATATTATATGTTAAATAAATATGGAATATAAATGCATATGCAAAGAGATATAATTAATTGCTAAACTCGCCCTAAATTATTCAGGATGCAGCGAAACAATGCACATGGTGGGACGAGCAAAATCGATGTCTTCTACCACATTAATCTCAGAAGTTGTATCCTTAGTGGGATTGCCAAGAAAATGTACACCAAGACTGTCAAAACGCAAGCTAGCTCCTTGTGCCATAGAGGATGGTTATGATAGTTCAGAAACTTTAGCGGAGTAAATAACTTGTTGCATTTATTAAAAATTAATATTAACACAGTTCAATGCTTTTGCAATATCAAATCTTTATTAAACTTTACTTCAATATGTAATTTGTTAACATTATTCTGTAAAATATTAACTGTAAAATATTACAGTTCTGCTTTATTTGTCGAATTTATTATTTAGGCTCTATCGATCCACTAAATATTTTATTGTGACCTACAACATTCTAAGATATACTTCTAAATAATATATATGTAATAGATATGAAGATGAAACCAGTTTGAGTTCGACCACCTTGAAGTTCAAAGATAATGAGGAAAGCTCAGAGCGAAGCGTAATACCGAATAAATTACATACTGATGAAACATCATCAACAGTAGCGGCTATTATGGCAGTTGGACAGCCGGAAGTAAAATATGCCCAACCAGTCAAGTAAGCATATAATTAATTTATTTCCAATAAAAATAATATTTAGGTATAACAATCCGATAATACAGACTGCAAAGTATTTAATTAATTGAAATTTTAATCATTTACGTAAAAGATATTGCGTAACAAATATTGTGTCTAACATTGCAATAAATATATAATAATCCTATGAAATTGACTAATCGACTAGAAATTGCTTAAAAATTTATATTAAATCACACTGTAAATAATATCATTCTTAGCCATGCTTTAAAATGTATCTGATAGCTGGTTGGACAATTTACAATTTGTGTGTTACACTGCAGATTACGTACTCTGGGATCTAATAGCCCCGCAGCAGACAAGCTGACATCGGACGATATCAGGTGTCAAAGTATAGCGAGCATTACTGACAGTCCGCATATTGCAAGACTTCATCGCTATACGTCCACTACTTTGCAGTCCAAGGTAGAGAAGGTTTAATCCGATTATATATTCTTTTTGTCTAAAACAAACATAAAGTAGACGAGTATAAAGTAGAGAGAGCACGATAAAAGCAAATTATATATTTTTTCATAATTTTAATAAGTAGTAATATTTTAATAAATAATATATCACAAAAATATAAAAAATAAAAACGTTAAACAAGTTAAAAAAGCTTTAAAAAGATAAGCAAATTAAAGTTAATTCTACACACAATACATAAACAAACTTAATGATAATACTAAAAAAGTTTAATATCGTTATTTATTTCTGCAATTGAATAAAATTGATTCAAAATCTCGGTATCAGGAATCATCAATGAGCAGCCCGTTATCGAGTACCTCTACGTTGCGCAGCGGCAAGGAGACAAAGGATCGTCGAAATCGCGAGCGACTGCTCCAGGGGCCGGGCTCGGAGTTCAGCCTGACAAATCCGGAAACGGATATGGAGATGGACTATTACGATTACAACGTCGCGAACGCCGGCGCCGCGCCGGGCTCATATTTAGGTATGGATCCAGCTTTTCTCCTATGGATTCCTCCATTGTCGATGTCCGAGGATTTTGAAAGTCCATCTACGGATCGCCCGGATTGTTTTCAAGGCACGACGACGACAAGCCCATTATATCGACTACCGGAGAGCACTGAGGGCGCGACCCTGACCCCGGCCGAGTATCGACGAATACGACAACAGCTTGCGTCTAGTGTCGAGGAGACTGGATTGAGCTTCGAGCAGAAACACCAGGACTCGACGTCTTCGTCGTCGTCGAAGAACGACTCGTCGTCAGGTGGCAGTGGTAACACATCCGAGGACAGCATCAGCAGCGAGAGACCCGCCAGGTTGAACGAACGCCTGCTGCCTATCCACCGGATCCTGGAGGACTCCAGGACCCGCGTAAGCGAAGAGTCCTTATGCGGTCAGCTCGCGGACGACAGGACAGCATGCGTCATTCCGAATCGCCTTCACGCCGTTAAATCTGATTTTTTCCAAGAGCAGGATATCTCGAAGAGCAGTCGGCAGGGTGATTATGTAAATCTTTCTGACAGCATTCTGGTAAAGTCAGACGATAAATTGGAGAAATCAAAGCAGAGCTCAAAGAGATATTCCGAAGATGTAACCTTTCATCATGAGTCTTCAAACTCGCTTGTGAATCAAAAGGCAAAGGATATTTCTCCGGAAGACAAGAAAAACCGCTCCCTCAAGAATGATAATACGTCCAAGTTTCCTAGCAAGTCGACGAGCTCGAAGACTCAAGGATACAAAGATATTGCGGATGACAAGGATAAGGATCTTCAGGGTGTCAAGGATAACTCCAAATCCGACATTCTTCTGACAAATCTGAATGTAACGGGCGGCCAATGCAAATATCGAGATTTCACGCAGTTTACACAGCCTCATGAGACTAAACTGTCGGACTGCACCAATATTGCGATGATCGAGTTCTCAGGACCGCGATTAAGCACGCCGGCGACAGCTCGGAGACTGACGACGGACAATCTGAACATTAGTCTGAAGAAGGAGATTCAAAGTCCGGATTATGGGGTCGAGAGCGACATAAAGGCGGAATCGCGAGAGTCCTTCTACGATCTGATCCGCGAAAACGAGAACGGCATCAAGTTTGCAGACGATGATGACGAATATATTGATAACAGAGCAAACTTGTGAAACCCTGTAATTGCTGCATACATGGAAGTGCAATAAAGATTACTGCTTTTTTACGACTAAGAATATTGTAGCGGCTTGGCGATGTTTCGGGAAAATCGAAAGAAGTCTTGACACGTTAAACGCTGTTATTATATTTAACTTTTAAGTGATTATGTGAATATTTTTTAACAATTAATATTAGAAGAAAAAGGCAAAAAGAGCCATTGCTAGTTGTCTGTGCAATATATTATATTATAAAATTATAAAGACAAACGTTTCTGCCTATGTTAGACCTTCATCAGTGTCATTACAAATAAATATCATAATAAACGGTTTCACAAGTGTCGAAGCGCCTTACAAACAAATGAAATGATATACGCATGATGTTCTTGATGACAAATAATTTCAACGAAAACTTTTTTCCATATAGCAAGATTGATAATTGTTTTTTAAACCGAAACTGTATGTCCGATACAGAATCATGGAAGAGTCAGAGACCAAAATTATTCAACAGAATGCTTTCATAATGCATGAAGAGTTTCTTAAAAATCGTGGAGTCCATAATTAAAACTGAAGATATAGTTAAACTAAGTCGGGTGATTGAAATGATATTTATCTTTTCGCCTTTTTCTTCTAATATTAATTGTTAATTTAGTGGAGCCTTATTATTAATATTTGTTAAATATTTTTTAATTCTGCTGTTGTGTATAAAAATGTGATGTAATGTTGCAAATGTTCCATGTTCTCTTCATAGAATAATTATAAATAATTGCATCGCCAAATTAACAATATACCGAATAATCATTAAATAATTGAATTAATAATTCATTAAATAATTATATAATGATTATTTATTCTTACAAATAATAAAAATGCTATTTTATTCATAAAGAGATAAGTAATCTTTTTGTAAAAATGCATATTTTCTTCATTAACTCGCGCTTACTTATAGTTTAAGTATGGCCCAATATCTTAAAGTTTTTAAGGAGGAGGAGGAGGAAAAGGAAATAGCAATTAACGTGTCAAACTATATCTCATGGTTATTATTTTTTTAGCGCAGAAGGACGGAAAAGTAAATTTATAATTGCTGTACATATAATTGCTATTTTTGTAAATGTGTATATTATCTTGCACGAAATATGTAAATATGTTCCGTCCATTGCATTAAACTATATTTATTTCGAAAATTCATAACCGTGCTTCAATTATTTTGCTCTTCTTTGTACTTTTTATGTATTGTGAACTTTGGGGCAGCCCTTTATATTCTTGATCGAAATATTGTACAAATAATTAGAAAAAACGTCAATTAAATTAAAAAATTAGACCTTATATTTTATCACTTTGCTGAAATAAATCTTATTCGAAATATTTCGTAGTATTTCGAAATTTGCACAAAAATCGCACTTATTTAATTAAACGCACCGTGTATTCGTTGTAATTTCTGTAATAGGTTGATGTTTTGTGGAATTACCGCGTGTACACGATACAGAAATAAACATTTCTCGTATGTAATATTCACGTAGTCTTCCATTAAATTATTGTTGATCATAAAGATATTTCAACATTAAAAAAAGTAAAAAACCTTTTCCTATAAAAACTAAAATATTTATTTATTGGAAATAAGTTTAAGACTTTTAATTTTCAACTTGGTCTGAAAATAGTTTCATTTTTTTTTTATTTTGCAATATTTTTGTTCCATATTCTTGAAAATGTATTTTTTATTTCTATTTCTATTTTATTATTTTTTAAGTTTTCAAAATTTTTATATTTCTTATAAAAAAAGATAACACAAATTTATAAAAAAAAATTTTTTTTTGAAGAATTGCAAACTTTAATAAATTCATACCTTGTAATACATGGTTATCCTCATAGGAATACCTTGTTATCCTCATTTCATTAGTTGTCATAAAGTTGATGTGCCATCCATGTCATTCGGGGGCGTCCGATATATCAGCAGTGTCGAATTTCACAAGCCATCTGACAATTATTTTGTTACATTGAAGAGAGGATCAGTCGAATCAAAGCTGTTAGCTCGTACCGATCAAAATGAGGATACTATATGTGTTCGGATTTGTCGTCCTTTGGCAGAATCAATTTGGTACATAAAAAATCGGCTGCCTATAAAAAAACAAAATAAAATAAATTATGTATTTTTTAAATTTAATAATATATATCTTAATCAAATTAAATATTACTTTTATATTTAAAAATAATTTTAACATATTATGATTGTAACATTAGAAAAATCATATTAATCAAGAATAAATGTAAAATTGACTAATCGAGTAAGGATTATATTTAAATTATTAATTGAAACTTGACGTAAGTTTCTCGTTTACTAGCTGCTTTTACTTTCGCCAAAAATTCGGATATGGATCTTGTGAAACGAGGTTGCAAACATACGGAAAATACAATACAGCACCTTAAAACGTGTCTCTTCCGCAATTATGATAACACTATCCATCCAAATTATCTCAAAGGAGTTACAAACGTCACACTAAAATTGATGCCGAAAGTGATGGAATTTGTAAGTGCATTGTTATAAAAAATATCACACTATATAAACTAAATTATAGCAGTACAATTGTAAAAATAAAAAATTAATATTATTCAGAGTAACAGCATTAATTATTATTTCATATTTCGTGATTATTACATAATAATACAACAGCGCATAAAAAAACATAATAAATAACTGTGTTTATAGGAGGATACTATACTATCATTACATAGCTGGATATTACTTGTAAGTATAATTTTTTGCTTATTAGATATTAGGTACATCCTTGTTCCTTGTATTTAATTAAATATTCCTCTTTGTTTTAATGTACTTAATTAATAGACTTGGAAAGATCCACATCTTACTTGGACATCAAGAAATTACGATGGGATCACTTTTATTCATGTAAAGAGCTGGGAAATCTGGATGCCCGATGTGAGCGTTTCCAACTCGTAAGAAGAAAATTGAGCTAATTTCTCTATTTTAAAATACATCGTTTATTGCATTGATCTCAATTTTTTTAGTGGCGATATGTCGGGTGATCAATTTCAGCTACCTCAGATGGACTGCTTACTTTTCAATGAGGGTTCCATTAGTTGCGTGCCGGCTGCGAAATTTATGTCCAAATGTAACACCGATTTTACTTATTGGCCTTATGATAAGCACCACTGTCGGGTTACATTGTCTTCATGGTCGTACAAAGGAGAGGAAGTTGATTTACACATAGATGGAGAAGGAGTACGTTGAATTAAGTAAAAATTATTTCATTATGTAGCTAATTGATTAAAAAATTATTATAAAACTGCTAGTCATTAATTTTTCTTCTCGCATAAATATTATTATACTTTTGAGAAAAATATAAAAAAACTACCCAATAAGGCAATGTTAACAATATTGATAGATGGATAGCAAATTTGATTAAACATTTTGCTAACATTTTGTTTATTGAGATATACATTACAGAATAAAATAAATACATATGTATCTAAAAAAATACTTTTTCTTATTGTAAATCTTCTACAGATTAATATGGGTGGTTTTTGGAAAAATACGGTGTGGAATTTCAAATTTATAAGCTCGGCGAAACAGATTTACTTTGATGAGTGCTGTCCGAACGCAACTTACCCGAAGATCAATTATAACTTTCTATTGACACGATATTATGACAAACAGCATATAGCTTTCTCCATACCAATTATCGGTAGGTTTTGTAACAACAAAATCGCAAAACGTGACTAAATCGTCGTAATCTTTCCTTTCAGTTTTAATACTGATTACTTTAACGGTGTTCGTGCTGGACGTAAAGTCAGTCGAACGTCTGACGTTGGCAAGCGTCAATTTAATTTGCCATCTGCTCTGTATGTTCTATCTGCATTGGCAATTACCGTACAATGGCACTAATACTCCTAACATCAGTAAGTAATAATATCCTAAAAAATCGTAAAAGAATTTGAAGTTTGGAGACAGAGTATTTTAAATTTCCAGATATTTTAAGATTACTTTTTTATTTTTTTTTAATAATAAGTTTAAAATAAATATTAGATATTATTTAATCTTATTTTAAAATGTTAAATATTATTTAAATAATATTTAATTTTGTAACTTTAAAATAAGATTTAAAAACCACAATTCAAACTGTATAATAAATTACCTTTCTCTAATGTTTATCTTGCAGTGCTATTTTATCAAGAATCTCTAGCGTTGGCTATTTTTGCGGTAATCCTAACGACGTTATTACGCAAACTGGAAAACATGAGTACAGAGATGCCAAATTGGATTTCATCTTCAATAACATTAGTTTTAAACAACAAAGCAGGTCGTTTTTTGGTTCTGAAGGACGAAGACTCCAAGATAACAGACGAAGATACAGCGACTGAAGAAAATTCGGATGTTGCAAAGTCTCAAGTAAAAATGAAGAGATTATCCTGGAAATATTTCGCCGTTATCATCGACTGGTTATCCTTTTTCTCTGTGGTCCTCATTTATATTATCATTTTGCTTATTCTTGTACCTGCGACTTAATTTCTATAAAAAATATTAATATTAATATTTACTTTAGTGTATAAAATTTTATTAAAAAATTTGTTATATCTATTTTTATAACACGTTAAAATATTGTTATTTAAAATATTATATTATTTTCTTTTACATAATTTTCACATACAAACAATTTCAATCTCTCATTCATGTTAAAATTTATCGTATTTACATGACTAATAAATTATTTCTGTAAGCAAAATGTTAGCAAACTGACTACAAATTTCAATAAATTTAATGTCAATGTTTCTAATGCCATTACTGAATTTTTTGTATCGCATTTACCGGATATTATAAGTGAAAATAATAATTTAACCACGGAAATAAATTATCTTTTTAAAGAAAAATATGATATACATTTTCTAATAACTTAATTTTCGTTACAATTGATTTGATGTTACCCTATAGTTATATATCTTTTTAACTAATGAAAAGCAAATATAATTTTAGTAATAACTCTATTTCTGTGTATAGTTTGTAATGTAAATGTATTCTATTATTGCATTGAACTATAATTATTTGAAAAATTCTTAATTTTGTTTATTAATTTTGCTCATTTTCTCTTCTTAAATTTATATATATATTTTCTGAATTAGTAGAAGATCTTACTGTATATTCAATTGGAATATTACATAAATAATAAAAAACATTATGTCAATCTGCTAAAAGATTAGATCTTATCATGCTTTCGTTATCCTATTAAGTTTACCTATATATGTTATATATATTATCCAAAATAGTTTGATTCTAAAAAAAATCACTTCTAAATCAGTTTAAAAGTAGCTATAATTTATAATTATTAAAAAAAGTGAAAATTTCACTGTGAGCATTCTAATAAAAGTTTTAAAACACACAATTAAACCAGAACAACGTAATTTTACTAAAAAACATAAAGAAATTGTAAGTTTTGATTTTTATTTATCGATTAATATCTCGTATTATACAATTATTTTTGTCTACAAATTAAATCCATTTATCAAAAAATGAAACTGAAGATTATATTAAACATTAAAAGTTGGTTGTCATAAATTCTCCAATTGATATTAGTGATTTAGGGGCGTCCAGTATTATATCAACAGTATCGAGTTTCACGAAGCGTCTGATAATTTTTCTACCATTATTATAAAGAGAAGTAGTTGAATCAGAACCGTTAGTTTGTACCAATCAAAATGAGGTTACTACTAGCGTTTGGATTTTTCGTTGTTCTCGGGCAGAATCAATTCAGTATAAAAATGTCTTTCATTAAAGTAATAAAATAAAGTATTAAAGTAAGTTGAGTTATCATATATTAATATTTATCTAGATGCTATTACTGTCACCGGAAATTCGCAAGATGATGTTGTAACACGGGGATGCAAAAATTTAGAAGATACGACGCCGCTGTTGCGCCTCAAGAGATATCTCTTTTGCGATTATGACAACACTATCCGTCCAAATCAAGCTAAAACGGTTACTAACATCACTTTGAGGTTGATGCCAAAGTTTATGGAATTCGTAAGTGCATCGTATGAAATAGCATATTATTGTATATATAAATAAATGGCATGTTATGTGATCATGAAAAATAGATAATAGTATTCTTTTCTCTTATTATAAGATTAAAAGAAATTGTGATATTTGAGTATTTTGTTCTTGATATTGTTATACTCTGGTAATTTAGCTCTTTAAAAAAGATTAATTAAATTTGTTTATAGGTCGGGGACAACGGTATACTGACACTCCACAGCTGGATGTCATTTGTGAGTTTAGAATATTTTGCTTATTATGTCTCGTATTTGTTTTAATAAGATATTTAATTAACAGTCTTGGACAGATACACATCTTACTTGGACACCGAGTGATTATGATGGAGTCACTTATATTCACGTAAGATCTTATAATCTCTGGGTGCCCGATTTATGCGTCTATAATTCGTAAGTTAATTTTTACGTTGTAATCACGTCATATTAATATGCAAAAAATGATTTAACTCGTTTTTTTACAAATAAAAAATTAAGCTATTATCTATCAATTTTTTTTATTTTAAAATAAATGATTTGTTGCGTTAAACTTTTCAATTCTTTTTATATATTGATATTTAATTACATAATAAAATGTAACTCAATACCTTTTTGATGTTTTTAGTGGCGATATGTCAAATGATCAATTTGAGATGCCTGACACGGAGTGCTTGCTTTTCAATACCGGTGCAGTTAATTGCGTGCCAGTTATAAAATATATATCCAAATGCCACATCGATTATACTTATTGGCCTCATGATCAACAGAAATGCCGCATAGCTTTTGGCTCGTGGACGTACACCGGAGAAGAAATCGATTTTCACTTGGACGGAAACGGAGTATGTGAATTTAACTTGTTGGAACTTCACAATTAATAATTTTCATCACATATATATTTCTTACTTTTCAAATATTACCAAAAAAATCCTGCAAAATTATACATTGTAAGATTAATTTAATGCATCTAGAATTAATGCAAAAGATCTTTGCACAAATTATTTAGAGATTCTTATACAAACTTTCTTATACATTACTCTTTTCATAATGCTTCTTTTACTTTATGTATAAATATATGTTTTCATATTGTATTATGCTATTTTAAAAATAAAAATCTGTAACTATTGTATATAATGTTAACATTTGGACTAAATATTTTTTTTCTTACATACTGGGTATATTATACACACACATATATATATATATATATATATATATATATATATGTGTGTGTGTGTATGTATGTATGTATGTATGCATGTATGTGTACACACGCACGCATGCACACACACACATATATATATATATATATAGTATTTTTTTCTCGTTTCACAGGTTCGTATGGATAACTACGAAAATAACTCAGTCTGGGATTTTCAATTTGTAGACGCGGTAAAATTGGTCAAAATATACAAGTGCTGTCCAAATGACACTTTTCCGAGAATCGATTACACGTTTTTGTTGACTCGACATAATGACATAACTCACGCATCTTACATCACACCGGCCATCAGTAAGTAGTTTTTCATAATAGAGAAAATACAAGACAAACCTCAAGTATATCATGATAAGTCATAATGCTCCTTCTAGCTTTAATATTGCTTACCCTAACGGTGCTCTGGTTGGATTCAAGATCGGTTGAACGAATAGCTGTCGCAAGCGTGAATTTTATTTGTCATCTACTCTGCATTTTTGATTTGCACTGGAACTTACCGTACAATGGCATTAATACTCCTCACATACGTAAGTACAAAAACTGTAAAAAATACGACAATCACACGTAGAAAATATTTAAATTTAATATTATTTAAATTACTATTTTATAAATATTATTTAAATCTATAACTGCAAAGCAACATAATATTTTTAGTATAAAAAATTAAAATATGTTATAAAGGCGTTTAAAAAAATTAAACAATTAAAATTATTCTTTAAACATATAGTTCAAATTAAATAGTAAATAATTCCATTTCTTTTATTTATCCCACAGTGGTGTTTTACCGTTATTCTTCGGCGTTGGCTACCTTTGCATTAATTTTAACAACCTTATTACGTAAACTGCAAGATATTAGCAAGGAGATGCCAAATTGGATCTCGTCTACGATGATAGTCGTCTTAAACAACAAGGCTGGTCGCTTCTTAGTACTCAATGACGAGGAGTCTAAGATAGCGGGTGGAGGTTTAGTAAGTGAAGAAAATTCGGATCTTCCAAAATCTCAAGTGAAGAGATTATCCTGGAGACACTTTGCTGTTATCATCGAATGGTTGTCTTTCTTCTGTGTGATCCTCATTTATGTCATCATCTTGATCACTCTTGTACCCACTGGCTAATCTCTATGGATTAATCGACGGCAAAAGATATTATATCTTGATGTGCATAATATTAAATTAAATAATTTGTACTGTTTTCTTTTGTGGCACATTAAAATAAATAATCGTATGCGCTATTTTTAATTTTCTAAAAAATATACCATATTTTTCGTTCCTTCTACATAAAATACTTTTAAATAATAATTTCGAATAAATATTTAATAATTATTTCTGTTGTCTTAAGAGAGAGTTTAGTATTAAGAAATAATATTAAAATATATCATTAGAAGAGTTATATGAAGAGTTATATGTGTAACATAAATAAAAAATGTATTAATCGACATAATAAAAACAATAAATTTTTTAAAAATAATCACAAATATTTTATTCTATTTTTCTGTACTTACTAAAATTGATAATAAATGTAATTACTAAGTAACAATATTATTATAAAAATAACAAAAATTTAATTGTTTCAAACATATATATTATATGTTTTCTATTTTGAAGTTGGAAATAAATAAAATAATTTAAGAAAAAATAATTACGAAAAAAAGCATAATTAAAATAATATTTGTCAATAAAATACCTGTTGATCATAGTTGATAAACATGTTAGTAGTTGATGAACAAATTAGAATTATTTGGAATGTTGAATGCGATAAGAGCTTATTGAGGAGGCGGTTTTCAGAGTCTGCAGTTTTACATTTCACTGGGCGTATGATTATCATCAGTTCAGCTTTCATAAATTTCATCCGTTAAATATTCAGTCATCGTACATCCGTTCGTCGTTCGTCGTACATTCAGAAACTATGAATAACATGTGCAAAAACAGTTTCTTTCCTGTTTTATTATTTATTCTTGACGTCGTATGTGTCGATGTAATAGCGACAAAGGATTGCAATGACGTTGAGAGTAAATCGACGGTGTTGCAACTGAAAAGGCATCTTCTTTGCGAATATGATTCCGAAGTAAGACCGGTCCAGAACAACAATAATATGACGCGTGTGACTTTTCGCTTGACGCCGCACTTCTATGATTATGTAAGTATTTGCAGTTTTTGTTGATTTGGGAAATTAGAACATCTCCAATCTAATATTTGCTTCAACTGTTTTTTTTGTTATTAATAATAAACCTAAAATATTTTATCAATAAAGTATAATTTTCTTCACACATTCATATAAATAAAAAATGGTAAAAAAGTTATTATTCGAATTTAAAAGTCTTCAGACTTAAAAAGTATCTGTAAAGTAAAACTTTTTGCTTTTCTTTAAAATTCGATACATTGCATACGCGACGTGTTTTTAAATGTTCCGACATTTTATTAAATTATTTTTTATGAGTATATCTTATTCGCAATAATTAAATTTCGCAATCTTTTCTCCAGCGTCAGGAAACTGAAATTTTTGTTCTACATGCCTGGATAGGAATGGTAAGTTTACATAATTGTACGTAAATAATACATTCATATGTAACAGAGTTTAAATTATTGAAAAATAGAAATAATTTATCAATTATTTAGCTATTTAATTGTTTTTAAGCATTTCATTATTATTATTATTAATGTAGTTTATCATTATTAGTATAGTATTTTATAAATTTTTAATAAAAAACATAACATTTTATACCTATATATTTTGTTTACTTAGGCATGGAGTGATTCACATTTGACATGGAATCCTGAGCAGTATGATAACATCAAATGGATCCCAGTATTATCTTATGAGATTTGGACGCCGGATATTACACAACACAACGAGTAAACAGTATATTTTTGTAATAGCAATAGAGCACTGTAACTTATCAACTTATCAACACTCAACAGTTACATTAATATTCTTCTTTCATTTCCTTGTACAGTAATTTTCGAGCATCACGATAACATAAAATTAATTTCTATATTTTCTAAATGTTATAAAATTAAGCAAATACATACTTTAATTAACATTTTATTTTTTCTCTCATTGTTAGTAAAAAGTAAACGTATGTGATATTTTAACAAAAATTGATAATATTCGTATATCGTAGAGAATTAAAGATATAAAAAATACTTTTTCCATTTCCCATTTGTTAGATCTAAACTACAAAAAATTATTGCTTGGTCTAGTTCCAAGAAATTTACTTAATTATTTATACTTACAATTTAGATGGATTGACGAAAGTCCGGAGCATTATGGGCACTCAAAGTGCTGGGTCTGGAGAGATGGGACAGTCCAATATTTATCACCAGCAAAATTTTCCACACATTGCCTTCCAGATTACACATGGTGGCCGTACGACACCTTAAACTGCACCATACAATTCGGCTCGTGGTCACATATCGGTGATGAGATTGACCTCTTTTTCTATCAGAATATGGTACAATTTATCTACTTCTCATCAGGATAGATGATTGACTTACGTTCCAAATAATATTTACGTGATGTTGAATCCTGAAAATAATCAAAGCATTTATTAATATCTATGTTTGCGTGTCTCTTCTTTATGAATCTGTGAATTAAATTGTTTTACAGTCATTACAAGCAAGTATAGAATCAAAACATGTTGAGTGGGATTTACTGAAAGTTGATACAACGAAATGGGAAGATAGATACAAATTCAATTCAGGTTCCATTGCTAAAATGCTTTCTTATCACTTTATCCTAAGAAGACATACGGGTATCATACGCATTGCCTATGTATCACCCACTATAGGTACGTAGTGCACAAACTATTTTCTTACTTTTCATTAATATTTTAACCAACATTATTTTAATAATATCAATATCAGTATATAGGGTGAGTCTGATAAAGAGTTCACCTTAAATAACTTGTAAACTATGCATTGTATAAAAAATTGCTGTATACAAAAGTTGCATGATTTCGAGGGGATCGTTACATAGTATATGTATTTTTTTACAAATGGAAGCGTTTCGGAGATTTGAAGGTCATCTTCATTTTTTTAAATGGAAATACCCTGATTTTTTTATATAAATCGATTCCTCGCAATATTCAGCATAAAAAGTTATAAAGGTAGGATGGCCAAAAATTAAATAGTTTACGAGATATTTTATACTTTGACATAATTTTACATAAACTGAAATAAAATATCTCGTTAAATATTCATTTTTCAATTATCTTATTTCGACATTTTTATGCACAAAATAATGAGAGGAATCAATTGGTGTAAAAAAACACATGGTTGTCTTTAAGAAAAAATATGATATCATTTCAGCTACATATTTTTTCTTTTTATCAGACTCACACACACACACACACACATACATGCATACATATATGTATATAGAATAATATATATAGTACTTATTGTATTTCACAGTGCTAATGGTGCTGACTCTGACAGTACTGTGGCTGGAACCGAAATCTTTCGAGCGAATGGTGACTGCAAATCTGAACTTTATTTGTCATATATTATGTATACAAGACGTGCATTGGGAAATGCCGAAAAGCGGATTTAATCCACCCAAATTACGTAAGTATAATACATTGTAGCTATATTTGCTATTTATAATATTTTAATTAGCACAATATTAAATAAAATCTTAGTATTCAAACCTCAAATAAAATTATAAATATATTTCTATTTACACAGTCACCTTTTACGAGAGCTCTCTGGCAATAGCGACTTTCACGCTCATTCTTACTAGTATCCTGCGACACCTACAGGAACTGACTACTGAACCGCCCGTGTGGATTTCGTTCATCACGACGTCTATCTTGCGCAGCAGAATCGGACAGATTCTTCTAGTCAGTATTCTTGATCCGGCCGCAACAGCCAAAATAGAAATTAATGCGGACGATAATACTGATCTCGTGCAATCGGATAGTAAAAAATCGCCATGGAGATATGTTACAGTGCTTATCGGGTGGTTAGCATTTCTAGGCGTGTTTCTCACCTATATCATTCTCTTAAGCACATATTTTCCTACGGATTATGCTGTAAATCTTTAGTATATAAACTAGATTTACTTGGAGTGTCATTGTTTGTTAAATATATGTACAATAACGCAGTTAAACAATATGATCATTGTACAATAAAAAATATAAATTGTAAAAAGATATAAAATTGGATATATTGAAGATACTAATAGATTTAGCATATGACTTTCTTTTTTTCTTCTTATAAATACATTTATTTTGTAAAACAAGTTGCTTTGGATACTTATATTAGTATCATTCGTTCTCTTCAACAACAGCATGATTCGCAACTTAACTTTGCTTTATATCTCATAATAAATAGAGAAACATAAAAAGTAAAACAAAAATAGTTGTGTGTAAAAAATATATCTAACCTTTACATATGGCGTTATCTTTTTTATAAACGATTATTTCAAGTGATGCTTATGATTGAACCTTCAATACAATTTTGCTGGTATTTTTCATTGCAGCAGCAATTATTTCATTACACTATGTACACATGACCATTTAATATTTCTTCTCCAAAAAAAATATTTAAACAAAAACATCTATGTCAAGACATATAAATTTAACAATTTTTGTTGTAAAAAAGACATGTGTACACGTAAGAATAATTTAGTACAAACGTGACGAATTGACATTGACCATCAGATTCTTTAACTCGCATAACAGAATACAAATTATAATATATATGTTAAACACATACGCTGGAAATATGTATCACTGCGAAAAAAATTAATCGGCAAATGTTCCATAAAACGTGTCGTGCAAAAACGTATGTATAAATGGAATGAACTAATTCTCACTGCGATTGATACAATAAATATTCCTTCAGGAGTCTTGGCAGAGGGAGTGAATTCACTGCGTTCCTCTTGGTATACTGCAGTATAGCGTCGCGGCATGCACTTTGCAACGTCGACACTATATTGAAACAAATAAAAACAATATAAAAACTGCTGAAACAAGAAATAAGAAATAAATATTCACCTCCGTACAGTTGAACTATTCGAACTTGTTTGGTGGTACCATAAACGTCCACTACTGCGCGCAAAGGTCCTGCTTTGTAAGGGATATCCTTTCCACATACACCTTGATCTTCGCCATTGATAATAAAGTGCATCTCCGCTTTGTCAGGACAACCGGCTTGCGGCACGTACATGATACCGATGCGACTACCAGCATCCGTAGGCAAGATGCACTGTGAAGAACCATCTATATTCGGCTTCAAAGCATTGAAAGGAATAACACCACGTGATGTCTGCACATTGACTCCATCTGTAACCAGTTTCTTCTCTCTGGCTGGTATTCCTTGTGGTATACCTTTAATAATAAATTAAAAAACAATATTCAGTTAGACAACGTGCTATAAATTTTGGGTATTATTATACTGTTATTTTTGCCATTAGTACATTTACAATTTTACTTTTCTTATAATTTGTGTCAATAAATAAATACAAACATTAAATAAATATAAACATTAAATATAATATAAACATATATTATTTTTTAAATGCTATCTTTACCAATTTTATACATAGTAATAGTATATATTTAGACCTTTCACAAATTTTGATAACAATTTCAGTCAACGAGTATTAACCAGTAAGAGAGGTGTACGTAGATGACAGACCACCATCAAAGTTATCCCAGATAGTTTGATTCCTGGTTATAGCGAGAATCCATGTGTTGCCTAATCTAACCAGATTAGGCATTGCGTATTGGGGTAGGTTGTTGTTGACCGAAGCCGGGTCAATCAGGGTGAGTCCCAGTCGCATGTGTCCACTCCATCCTCTCTCTGTTTTTTCAATCTCCACAAGAAAGATTTCCCCCGGTTGCAGCGGCTTCTCGCTGAAGGCCACTGAGTTGGCAAAACTCGTAGTACGCACCGCTACTGTACCGTCCTCACACAAAAGAATATTTTCACCATGAATAGGATGGAACCTGGTTACTATCTTTTTGACCTCTTCACTCATGGTGCGATGCAGGATGGCAATACGCTCATCCGAAGAAAATTGCCGGCAAGTGATAGCGCAGCATGCACCAAGTGCATGCCTAATCTTATCAAATCCGACGCAAACCGTTTCTTTAACGCACTATCATCGAAAAAAATTCTCGGGATTCACTCTCTCGACGATATTATTTGACTCGGTAAAAATAAGTTGAATTTTTTTCCGAAAAAAAAAAATTATTTTACATGAAGAATGGTGCAACGCGATCTCTGTGTGAGAGATGACATGGAAGCAGTGGCCACCCGTAGGAGTAGGTTTGATGTCAGGAAAAGTTTTCTTAGGTTAGGTTTTCGCTGCGGAGACGAACGATAACGCAGATACGCGTGATTATGCAGATTTTACATATTCACGCTTGTCACATCCGTTTAATGAGACTTTGGACTTCGGAGTTCTCCACTTACAGAGCGAATAACCATCATTATAGAGATAGTGTAAATTATCATAGAAAGCAAGTATATCAAAGAAGTTGACACTTTCTCTTTGGCCACTTTGACGAAGCACCACTGTCCACGAGTATGCGCAGTAGACGAATATCAGCTGATTGTGAGTGCTGGTGCGAAAGCAGCAGTCATGCAAATATTCAGATACAATGCGTTCGATAAACATGCTGAATTTATAGACGTAATGACATACAGAATGCCAATTATACACAATTTTTATAATATTATTTCTAATCACATATATAATTTTGATTAATAATTAATAATAATTGTTTACATATAATTATAAAAGTTTGGCAATCAGTTCCAGTAATTCAATATGATAAAATGCAATAATATTTAAATAATTGCTGATACATTGTTTATTTATACGTTAGTCATGTATACCTCTTAAATAATAAACCCAATTGATATAAGAAATCTTGGGTTCTGTGCAATATATTAAAAGTTTTCCAGTTATTGGGTAGCTGTTAACTTCTAGTTCCCTTTTTCCGCTTGATACATCTTTTAAGTGAACAGCAATATTGACCACCTTGCGATAATAATAATAATAATAATATAATAATAATAATAATAATAATATATTGAAAGTCTGGACAGTATATATTATTAAACCGTAATAATCATTAAGTAATATAACCCAGATGGCACAAAGATGAATAGAAGTTTATAGAGAATTTATTTTAAAGAATACATACAGAATTAGAAAAATGAATATCTGAAGAATTCTAAAAAAATTAACTACAATCAGTTCGTCTTGAAGTATTCCCCAAAAATTCATTATAATGAATACTTTGCTACTCAGTATTTTAAATACTTCGAGAATTCATGAGGAATTAAAAGTATTTTATTTGTTTTAATTCCGATCGGAGCTGCTAGATTCGTTTACTTGCAGCCTCCGCGCACACAAACGAGAACCGTATACATGTGATGCGCAAAACGCTCTGCGCATCTTCCAACCCATCTCGTGTAGTGTCACGCACCTCTATTAAGCTGGCACCCCCACCATGAAAAATCGGGTTCGGATTTAGAGCAAAATTAAGTGCTAATTTATTGCTCTAAGCGCAAATTTATTGCTTTTACCCATTAGCAGGAAAATAATATTAAAGATAAGGGTGCTGACTTGCCATAAAGTTGGCACCCCCACCTCCGAAAAACACTTACAGCGAGTTGCAAATAAAAAAATAAATATACCAGAATTTGTTGCTAATTAATTGCCCAAAGATACTGCAAACAGATTTTCAAAATATTAAATTAAAAAAAAAAGCCAACAAGACATATCGTAAACATAACAGTAAAATCATGAAAAATAAGTAGCTAACAATATCAGATTGTTATAAAATTGTTTCTTGCATTAAAGGATCTCAAAATAAACCATTTCTAAATTTATTGTTCGCAATTTAACTAAAAAAATCGACTCGAACTAGTGGCGGTGCTAGCTTGATGACAAGAGTAAAGTACATGAATGCAATTAGTTGCTGTTAATGTTTTGGTCCGTAATAACTTCGTATAGCAT